AGGGACATTAGATTTATTGTGTATCGGTTATTGAATTAAACATTTACCTCGGTAGCAAACCGGCCTTGTAGAACTAAACGCGGCATTGATTAAATGGGTGCGGTTCTCATGTTTCATTACATTAGGTGAGTGTTTCATTACATTATATATAGTTATGTTTGAAAGCATTTAGTTTAAATGAGAATACCGAAACGCCCAGTATTCATTTAGCGTACATGTAGCTTTACTGGTTTAGCTTCACGAGGGAGAGGGGCGGCGGGGTAGCTAAGTGGTTAAAGCGTTCGCTCGTCACGCCGAAGGCCCAAGGTTAGATTCCCCACATGAGTACAATGTGTGAAGCACATATCCGGTGTTCCACGTGATATTGCTTGAATATTGCTAATGGCACACTCAATCACTCTTCCAAGGGGGCACGGTTGGCCCAATAGACTGAAACGCCGGATTTCGCTGTGCAGAAATCTGTCTATCCGGCCAACTAGAAACATGCTTTTTGGTTCGGACTCCGGTTCTATCTGATCACTCACTCACTCACTCACTCACCCAGACATCCGCCCACTCACTCACTCACTCACTCACTCACTCACTCAGACACCCGCCCACTCACTCACTCACTCACTCACTCACTCACTCACCCACTCACTCAAGAGGGAGAAAGTAATATGCCTCTCTATGGTATCATTAATATTAGACAGTGACTCATAAATACATGTTCATGATACTATCGACTCTGCTTTATGCAATGAGATTTCTATTAGATATGGAAAACGTTTGTCGCTTTATATCAAGGAAGTGGTTGAAAATGTCATATTTGAATATAAGCAAGTCTTTGACCCTAGCTGATTTTCTGAGGCATGTATATGCGTATGGTTAAAATGTAAAACTTTGTGGAAAAATATTCATTTGGGTCATCAAGCTGCTCAGTTATAGTTGAAGCTACTTGAAGTACGGTTTTCACTCAGTTTAGCTGTGTGTGCATGTCATCATGTCATACATCTAACATTTGCAAGTGAATGGAAGAAAAAAGTGATGTTAGTCATCTGAATACGTCCGATATCCTATGTAGCCCTTTGTGTTATCCTTTGAAACCTTTAGTTGTGTGCCAGCAGGGGCAGTGAGGTAGCAAATGCTGGAAACGTTCTCTCGCCACGCCGACTAGCCAGGTTTGATTCCACGTGGGCATAATGTGTGAAGCACCGCCGTATAGATAAAATAATACTTTACCAGGCGTCAAATCCCACTCACTCACTCCAAAACCCATCCACCCGCTCTACGCCGGATATCAATCAAATAGTGTCAGTGATATTAAAAATGGATTTTATGGTTTTTGTGTTGGCACAGACAAAAATTCAATCTGCGCTTCAATACATACAACTTTTATCTCTGAAACATGGAGGCAAACAATAATTGGACCTGTAAGACAAACTTGTTTCGCGAACACCTATTATTACCACTATTTGATAGTGATTCATAAACACATGCTCATGGCGTAGTCGGAATCGTACAATCGACTCTGCTTTTTGCAGAGATTTCTATTGAATATGGAAAGGGTTTTGTCGCTTTTATTTTTTTGAACAACCAGCGTGTTCAGTTAACGTTATTCATTTTTGTAAGATGATAAATGATATTTTCCAGTATTTCGAAAACAGTTAATGCCTATTCATATGGCAGTATGCACGAACGTGCGCATATTGTGACATTCACGTAAGATCGAGGTTATCAACTCTTGCGGTTGCTATGATAAAAACTTGTGCTATTAAGCTTTGTGTTGCGGTGACGTGTAAAGTATTAAGGGACAAAACTACGCAAACATGGATTTGAGTAAACAACGGAAATAGGAACCCACCATATCAGCTGACGTATTTTCAACTCTAAGCTGCAAAACAAACGCACGTGACAAAAACAACATCCAATAGAATGGTCTTTTATGTAACTGCGCCATTTAGGTTTAGTCGACAAAATTGACCAATTGTGTGGTAAAAAGAGGTTTAAACCTCAGCCGAAATGTCTCTTTCAAGATTCCATCTGTCGACATCGACTTGTGAGTGCTTTTTGAACCCAAGTTGACTTAAATTGACTCTATTGAACGAGCGGTTAAGCACCCAACGTCAAACTGACGACATACCACCTAAAAACTAATCTTCGTCCCGATAGGCCCGCTACACAAGAAATAGTGGTATCAAGTCCATTTAATCCTATACAATTGAACGTTCCACGTGCACGTCAGGCAGACTCGCCTCTGTTTTGTATTATTAACTTTTCTCTCAATTTGAATCAGTGACGAAGGTACATGTAGAATTAACTTGAAATAGTGGCATGCAGTTCGCCTGTGTTGTTACTTTGAATATTGTATTGAATATACCAGACTTGCGGTTTGAAGTGAATTAGTAACAAACTAGTCCTGTGGGTGGGTGCGTCAACTAGTGACATGCTAGTCGTTTTAGGAGATACGTCAAATAATTGCATACTAGTCGTGTACGGGGATACGTCAAAAGTGGCATGCTAGTCGTGTTTTTCTTTTCTTTTTTCTTTTTTTTGTGGGGGGGGGGGGGGGGGGGGGGGGGCAGGGGATACGTCACTTTGTGACATGCTAGTTGTGTGAGTAGATACCTCAAATAGTGACATGATAAGTCGTGCTGGGATTTACGTTAAAAGGTGACATGCTGGTCGTGTGGGGAGATACGTTAAATAGTGACATGCTAGTCTTGTGGGGAGATACGTCAGAAGGTGACATGCTAGTAGTGTGGGGACGTAGTCAAATAGTAACATGCTAGTCGTGTGGGTAGATACGTCAAATAGTGACATGCTAGTCGTGTGGGTAGATAAGTCAAATAGTGACATGCTAGTCGTGTGGGTAGATACGTCAAATAGTGACATGCTAGTCGTGTGGGTAGATACGTCCAAAAATGATATGCTAGTCGTATGGAGGATACGTCAAATAGTGACATGCTGGTCGTGTGGGGACATACGTCAAATAGTGACATGCTAGTCGTGTGGGTAGATACGTCCAAAAATGATATGCTAGTCGTATGGAGGATACGTCAAATAGTGACATGCTGGTCGTGTGGGGACATACGTCAAATAGTGACATGCTAGTCGTGTGGGTAGATAAGTCAAATAGTGACATGCTAGTCGTGTGGGTAGATAAGTCAAATAGTAACATGCTAGTCGTGTGGGTAGATAAGTCAAATAGTAACAAGCTAGTCGTGTGGGTAGATACGTCAAATAGTGACATGCTGGTCGTGTGGGGACATACGTCAAATAGTGACATGCTGGTAGTGTGAGGTGATACGTCAAATAGTGACATGCTGGTCGTGTGGGGTGATACGTCAAATAGTGACATGCTGGTCGTGTGGAGTGATACGTCAAATAGTGATATGCTGGTCGTGTGGAGTGATACGTCAAATAGTGACATGCTGGTCGTGTGGAGTGATACGTCAAATAGTGATATGCTAGTAGTGTGGAGTGATACGTTAAATAGTGACATGCTGGTAGTGTGATCTTCAAATACTGAACCATATTTAAATGCAAGTCGCTGGATGTGATACCTTGAAGGGTTACACACCACTAATGTGCGTGGATGCTTCAAATAGTGGTTCGCTAGTCGTGTGAATGGATAATTAAAATAGTTATTAACCAGTCGCGTGAACAGATACTTCCAATAGTAACACACTGGTCGTGTGAGTGGATACTACAAATAGTGACAAATTAGTTGTATAAGTGGATACTTTAAATAGTTACATACAAATCGTTTGAAGAAATGACATACTAGTACATGCAGCGCGGGTGTATACTTCACTTCGAGCGGTAGCGTACCAGTCCGTTGGGTTGATACACTATACGTCAAATAGTGACATAATAGTAGTCTGAGTGAGTACTTTGAAGAGTGCTATACTAGTCGTGTACGTTGCAGTTTGAAGCTTGTAAAAGTAGTATTAACATGTCAACAAAAATGCATTTTCGGTGATCCATTCATACAATTTACTCCACTATTACACCCATTGGAATCTGTTTCAATTATCCTCTGGCAATGACGTTTTATGTTCACCTTCTTTGGGAAGCGAACACAGACCAGCGAACACAATAGCGACTGTACATGTGCGAACATCATTCGCCAACTCATTATAGACGCAACATTTACACTATACACAACTAATAGCATTTGACTGTGAATTTATCAAACCCGCGAGACACTTCAAACATTTTTCTGTATCAATTTACATCTCTGTAAATTCAATCCACCTTCTATCATGATTTATAAACTGTTATCCAGAAAAAGTTTCATATTCTTCCAACTCCAAAATGCCTTTCAAAGACTTCATGTTACGGGAGTATCATATCTCAACGCTATCTTAAATTATTTGAAATTAACGAATAACGAATAACATGCACCCCGCCTTGAGTATCACGACTTATAAACTGTTATCCATAAACAAAGTTTCATGTTCTTGCAACTCCAAAATACCTTTTAAAGACTTCCTGTTACAGGAGTATTACATCTCAACGCTATCTTAAATTATTTGAAATTAAGGAATAACGATACCTCATCACACAATAACGTTTGTTGATGTGATTGCCCCTTTTAAACCGTGATGAAACGAAGAGAAAGTTATATCTCGTAACGTAATATGAGTTTCTACGCAAAAGTCATTGGTTTAGACATCACCCTTTTCGTCGCTGACAAGATTTACATTCCGTAAGAGTTTGCAAAACTCCATTGCAGTAACACGTAAATGTTTATCCATTGCCTTTAACTCTCAATTTGATTAGATAAAGAGTTTTGTTAAATGTAATTCAAAATGTCAATTACTTTTCCATGTAAATAAAATCCGAGTTCTATTGTTCAATGTTTTCTATCTAATATCTCTTTTTCGGTTATTTAAAATACATAGGATGTTTTTTAACTGTTACATACATATGAATAGATCAATACAAAGTAGGCAAAAACTAACAAACTACAGCATTCATACACGAACAAGTGTCAAAAAATAATATTTACTCACCGTTAAATAGATTTGAACTCGCTCCTCAAGTTAAGCTTATCCCGCTAATTTTGTGCTACTGTCCTGACGCAAAGTTCGGAATAGAAAGACCCGATGCGCCCTCTGTTGGGAGAGATTCGTGTCACCTTCGCTTACTATTAGAGTATCCAGCCAGTTCGATCTGTGGTCTCACAGATCACCTCTCCAATGATAATGCTGATCGAACTCGAAGCTGGGGTTGTGCTGACTGTAATTCAGTCGGCTGCCCTGTTTTATATAGGATTATGGGCGAGTGGGAAACCCGCATAGGCTAGTAATTAAGGGGAGTCTCTATTGGTCTACGAGAATTCCAGCATAGCTGTTAATGCGATTTTACAAGTCTCAAACTCCCATTTCAAATATGAAAGTCTGTCTGATAATGGAGACACAAGGGGAAGTCATATCGGAAAATTTGCCACTTGAAGCCATCAACATGTTGAGAGAGTGAAACTTGTCTGACTTTGTTTATTTCGGTTTAATAGAGAATATGTTTTCATGTTTTTGTTTATTTGTACAAAGTAAAATGACAGTAAAGAACTTAACGCTACATCACAGCTAAAATATGTTACAACTCGCATTACGGCACTTGCATCTGACGAATATGAGAATGTAATCAATACTTGCAGAAATGTACATGCACTGTGTATAACGACCCTAAGCCTGAAGACTGTAGGCATCCAAAATCAATTCATATTTCAGCAAATAAAAACCGACATTTCCCATAGCTTTTGGGCGTAACTCCGAAAATCGTTCATATGATGTCTTGTTTGAGTTTAATTTTCAAAGAACACATTTATCACAATTCTATTAGATACAGTGATTTGTCGTTACCTCGTGTTTAAAACGGGAACTAATATAAATCATTTTCATGCGACCGAGAAAAAATTAATGGATCAATCAAACTGTCCTCTTAGCAATTCAATTTGATCGTACGTCGACTATATAATCTTCACAGTACCACAAATAACAGCAAGGCGTTGCTCCGTGAAACTGTGGGCGTTTATGAGGGTAGCGCGTGCTGCTTATCCAAAATATTCAAGATGTTACGTTTGAAATATCATAGAATACAAGCTTCAAGAAAATACGTTTGTTTTGTGGAGAGACATTAGTTTCCAATAAGACCAAGGAGAAGGTTAATCAATTCATCAGTTCAATCTACATCATCTTCATCCATCACTTCCTATGGCATCAGCCCTGGTGAAGTTTGACCGATATATCAGACATTGGTGACACATTAACTTGATAGAAGACATGTTTTTGTGGTTCCACTCTCCGTGCACGATAATATGAGAACGCCAGTTGAGGACACGCGGAGTGGGTTGACTCCAACTGGAATGTTTATTCATGGTGCTCAGGCTTCGCCTCCAATGCGTATTAACCCGTTATCGTTGTCAATGACATGACATACATCTCAGAGACCGTTAAACCACGCACCGAGATGCTGGTTCCAGTTGCAGTATACGTGGTTAAGGAAGTGATGAAATGATGAAGATGCGTTTAATGTTGCAATTATTACTTGCTGGTATCTTGAGAATTTGAAATAAGTGCGTGGCCACTGTGGGTGGGTGTACTTCTGGAACACCTAGAAATAAATGAGTGATTGAATAATTTTATTGTGTAAGATGTGATGTCTATGATACCATACGCGGATGCAGCGAAGTGTGTGTGTGTGTGTGTGTGTGTGTGTGTGTGTGTGTGTGTGTGTGTGTGTGTGTGTGTGTGTGTGTGTGTGTGTGTGTGTGTGTGTGTGTGCAAGGATTTGCAAGGCTCCTTTTGAAGCAAGCTATTCAAGATAAAGTTAATGTAAAAATGTAAGTGAATCATTGGGGAGAGGTATGTGTTCAGGAACTCACAGCTTTCCCTTTTTTATGAAGAACTAATCATTGTAACGTATTCAATATAACTGAATCACTTGGTGACGTGTTTTCAACAAAAAATAGAAATAAACTGATTAACTTCTTGCTCCCAATCTTAACTAGTTCCCGAAAGAATTATTTGGATTTATCTACCATTTGTTTTAAGTGTCATATATATTTTCTTTTATTGTTTCAAGACAGTCATCCATTTTGTTCTCTGAATTGAGGAGACAAACGATTTTGGAGGACCGGATTATATTCAGGACATCCATCATGACCAGTGAACATTTATTTCTCATAAATATAAGCCTCAAAACCAATTTTAATAATCATAAGAAATACGATTTCCACTATATCATGCGCATGTGTTTACGAATCAGCCCAACCGGTGGCACCCGTCTCAAACACATACAAGGGAAAGTCGAGCATTCAAATGTTCACCATTTGCTGGAATATATAAAATCCAAGCCAGCACTCACCATACCCTCCTCCAGAATATCACATGGGAAGTGCATAATGCCTTTTACCCGCGGGGATTCGGTGTTCGAAGATGTGTTCCAGGAACTTATGCTTGTTGCAAGGCCGTTCATGTTTTATTACTTGGTTTACGGATTTGTTTTAATAAACAGGAGATCAAAATAAAATAAACTGTCTTATTTAACAATTATGTAATGTATGGTTCGACGTTTTCTTAAACCAATTAAAACAAACACCAACACATCAATATTGGGAAGTGTAGGAATAGATCAGTATGTTTTCTATGACGTATAATCTGTTATGATTCACACAAGTTACCGTCAGTACGCCGACCAATTTTCTATTCCTCTTTTTAACAACTCAAAGTCAGGAAAGAGAAAGAATATAAAAGAAGAAAGAGAAAGTGACAGCAAAAACAAAAAAAAGACCAAGACAACAAACAAATAAATAATTATGTAATTGTTTTGTGGCAAAAGGGATGTGTCAATCATCCAAATACAATTGTCCTCCACTGAAGGTAAAGATAAAAAAGTGAAAAAATAGAAATACCCACGAATGAATGCACGCACACACATACACGTGCGCGCACAGACGCACATGCAATAGTAGTATTAATTGAACTATTAAGATTTATTTATATGTCCACGCAAAAACATAACTGCATCTCCCTTTTACACCTCGAAAAGAATCATACTGCATACATGTAACAATATGCAACTGAAATACATGGCATACGCACATCCAAACAGTGCAAACACGCATCCAACTGAATCATATCAGAAACTGAAACCACATTCATCAAAGAGAGCCACATCGACAACACATTCCCAATGGAATCCCATTGTACAAACACACTGAATAGAATCATATCGCAAAAACATATCCAACTGAATCACATCGTACATGTATACATGCATTCCATTGAATGACATCAAGCACACACTCAATAAAAATATCGCATACGCAGATGCCATTGAATCATACTGCATAAACACAACTTATTGTATCACATTGCATACATACATCCAACTGAATCACATTGCATATACACATTAGTCCGCGGCTCAGATACCCCGTCCAATAGAATCATATCGCATACACATATCCAACTGAATCACATCCTATTGAATCTTATCGCATGCTGACATCTAACATATATCACACACATTCAACATAATCACATGGCATGCACACATCCAACTGAATGCCAACTGACACTGTGAATAAACTCTACTCAGAAATCACATATAGTTAGACAGAATATAGAATGCGTGAATAATAAATTCAATTTAGCGCGGTTAAATTTACAGGTAACCTAGTAGGTAACCTAGGACCCGTGAAGATTCCGGGATAGAATAGGTCTTCAGCAACCCATGCTTGCCGTAAAAGGTGACTCTGCTTGTCGTAAAAGGCGACTAACGGGATCGGGTGGTCAGGCTCGCTGACTTGGTTGATACATGTCATCGATCCCAATTGCGTGGATCGATGCTCATGATATTAATCACAGGATTGTCCGGTCCAGACTCGATTATTTACAGACCGCCATCATATAGCTGGAATATTGCTGAGTGCGGCGTTAAACAACAAATCAACCAACCAACAGGGAACCTAGCTCTACATTGAAAACACATGTATGTTTATCTCCATTCTACGCGGGGCGTTCAATAAGTTTTGCAACTTCAATATAAGACGGAAAATATCTTTTGCACTTTTATTTTTCAATATAATCTCCATACACTTATTCCGTTTGTTCTTCAAGCTTTTTATACAACTTTTATAGAAATCCGCAGATTGGCCCTCTAACCACGCTTCCACGCCTTTATGTCCTCGTCATCCTGGAAGCGTCTTCCACGTAGGGCAGATTTCATTTGCCGGAACAGGAAATAGTCACTGGGGGCTAAGTCTGGACTGTAGGGTAGGTGATTTAACTGTTCGAATCCACATTTACATATGGCGGCTTGTGCAATTCTCGACTTGTGAACCGGAGCGTTGTCATGCAAAAGTAGAATACCACGTCTGGCGAATAGATTTTCGCAATTCTTTCATTACATTAGCATAATACTGTCCATTGATTGTAGTTTTTGGTGGCATGCAATCAATTAGTAATTTGCCTTATGCATCCCAAATTATGGTGGCCATTACCTTGCCAGCCGATGGTTGAGTGCGCAACTTCCTCGGAGGCGGAGAATTTAGTTTCTGGGTCCCAGTGGTGGATCCATGTTTCATCACCTGACTAGACGAGAAAGAAACCCGGCTTCATCAGCAGTATAGAGATCCATTTCAGTTCTCTGATGGCGATCTTGGGCTCTGAGGTTTCTAGATTTCGATCCCCGGCCGCATCATACCAATAGACGTTAAGAAATGGTACTGGTTGTTACCCTGCCTGTCACTCGGCATTTAGGGGCTAAACAAGGAATGGTCGGCTCGGAAACGGTATACTGTGTCTGCGTGGGGTATTCATGTTAAACTGCCGCATGGTATCTCAATGGGCTGGCACTATAAAATCGACCATAATCCGGACTAGTACACACACACACACGCGCGCGCGCGCGCGCGCGCCCGCATGCACGTCGCTATAAGTGCAATAATCATGAAAGCCATGTTAAACCCCATTCCACCTCCCCTATTACCACAAACATTAGCATGCGTCGAACCAATTCAAACCCGAGTCCCACATAACAGAGTAGACATAGACGATATCTCCCATACAAGCATTAAATGCTAAAAGCACAACCGTGGTGACATAAGTGTTAATTAAATTTGATAAAGGATCCATTGGTTGAAAGGTTTGGATGAAATATCCCAAGTGACCAGTTTTCATTTTACTTCAAACGCAGGAGGCAAGGATCGATACCCACTCTGCCAGTCATGGTTTGTCATCTTTCATCC